CGAAGTTTGGTCCATTCCTCCTGGGACACCCTGTATATATATATATATATATGGATGAGTTGGCAGTTTTCTTAGCATTTTAATTAGCTAATGTTGACCGCCTCTGTGATCTAGTGGTCAGCGTTGTCTAAATAATGTGGGAGCCTCGATGTCTCAACCCTATGGACGTCCATGGCCTGTTACAGCGATAGCTTTACCTTTTATTTTAGTTTGTTGAGGCACTATGCTACATGCCGGAAGGTCGCGGGTTCTATTCCCAATGAGGTCATTGGATTTTTCAATTGACATAATCCTTCCAGGCGCACTACGGCCCTGGGGTCGACTCAGCCTCTAACATAAATGAGTACCTGGAATCTTCCTGGGGGTAAAGGACGGCCGGCGCGTAAGGCTGATAACATCACCGCCATCTGCGAGCCGATTGTCTATAAAATGTGGGAGCCTCGACGCCCTGTTACATGGATAGCTTTTACATTTACTCTTCATAAATTCGTTGGCCCATGACTGTGGAGGTTAGAAAGTATTGGATGTACAAGGTTTCATGGGCCAAGAAAGAAATGACGTCAGTCTGAGGTTAGTGGATTAATTTCTCTTCATGAAGTTTATTTTATAAGCTGCTGACAAAATCCTTTCATGAATTGATGCAGATCATAACGAAGACAGTATCTTAACATCTGAGATGTAGGGTTTAAGGTCCCCACAGCTGTGGCAATGAAGACTATCCACTGTCTTATAGAATGTGGCGCCGTGAAGAGCGATAGAAGTTCACGGATGTTTCGGAGAAACGTACAGCACCCAATCCTCGGGGTTGAGAATAATCCGAGCAAGCAGGAAGCTCAGATTGCCGCTTGCTTTTTTGCATACTTGGCGTACTCTTAGACCATGAGGATGGAGGCAGTAAATTTATGCGAAATGTCGATTAGTTTCTATCGGGCTACACGGCATCATATGCTGGGAGTATAATTCACTTTTATTATAATGTATGTATTTTACGAGGCATGGTTTTAAGATTATGATCCCTGTGCACCACAAAGTATGGTGGTTTAACGTAGGTTTAAATTCAAGTTGACTACAGTTGTACGAGAAATTCATGGCTGGATTTGCAGTTGTCCGGGCACCATGGCAATTGAGAACGTGGAACCCCCTATCAGTAACAACAGATTTAGGTTACGTCATTTTTCTTTCAATGAATTCTCACTTCTTGTAATAATCAAACATGCAGACTAAATTTTCATGATTTTAGATAAAAAAAATTCTCAATAAAATCGTAGATTCCATTTCTGTTTTGTGAAGCCTTAGATGGGAAGATAATACGAAACTGGCTCTTCAAAAGTACGCTGGGAACGTGTGAACTCCATGGTTGGGAAACGTGCCCCCTTGGGGCCCATTTTCATAGTAGGGAACAGCCAAAAGTCACTCGGAGCGAGATCCGGAGAGTACTGTGGTTGCGTGATGACAGAATGTTTTTCTCGGAGAGGAGGATTCATCTGGTTCAGAACAGGGACCAGTGGGTGGGTGTGCGTGCACGGTAATGAACCTTGGAGTTCCATAAAAAGTAGGAAGTTTCTTGCCTTGCTGAGTGACTGTTAGCTTAAAAAAGACTTTCCTTTATATGTAGAATTTCTGTGACTTTCTTGAGCACCCAGACACGTACCATCTATGTCCACCTCGTGTAACATCTGCTGCAGCTCTTCCTCGCGGGCGAATTGCCCCAGACTCCGCATGACGCGCCCAAGCTCCTCCTGGGTGATACTACCATCTCCATCCTTGTCGAACAGGCGGAAGGCTTCACGGAATTCTGAAAAGAGGGATTAACTGAGGAAGAGAACCTTGGATACATGACCCAGCTTTCCTTCAGTGTATTCAGTAACCGAATTTCATACACGTCCGTCACTTATTAACTGTGCTACAAGCCGGAAGGTCGCGGGTTCAAGTCCCGATGAGGTCATTGGAGTTTTTTCAATTGACCTAATCCTTCCAGCCGCACTATGGCCCTGGGGTCGACCCAGCCTATAACAGAAATGAGTACCAGGAATTTTCCTGTGGGGTTAAGTATGGCCGGAGCGTAAGGCTGACAACCTTACCGCCATCTATGAGCCGATTGTCTAGAAAATATGGGATCCTCAACGTCTCACAACCGTATGGGCCTCCGAGGCCTGTTACAAGGGTAGCTTTACCTTAACTTGCCATCACTTATTACTGGCTACGAACCTTATAGATATAAGTCCCATATTTTTACCCGCTTTAAAATAATTGACTGAACATGGAAAATTCATAGGGGAAATTTGGAAATTCCCATCTCTAACAACGAAGGCCGGCGCTGTAATATCGACTGAAACACTGCCTTTTATTTCTGTCATCAAACTGAAATCAAATGAGACAAATCAGCTTCTGGTCTATACTGATGATGGTAACCTACACGAAAATACGTTAAACACCACAAAGAAAACCACAGAAGCCCTAACAGATGCTAACAAGGAGGTTGGCCCAGAAGGAAGTGCAGAGACAGCCAGGTACATGTACATGTCAGAATGTAGGACAGAATCGTAGTTTAAAGATAGGTAACAGATCCTTTGAAAATATGGCGAAGATCAAATATTCGTGTTTGAACACGACAGTAAAAATTTGATTAATTTAATAAATTTTGTTGTTTGAACAGAATAATTCCAAGATTACATAAACCAGAAACATCCCTTTCATTGCTTACTATGAACTTTATTGCCCGTATCTACAAATTACAGCAAAGGACATTGCAGTATTTATAGCGAAATATTTAATACAAAATTTATGACATAAAACATATTTAATCGTATTCGGAAACATGATCGAATCTTTGGTATAAATATGGCTTATTATGTAGGTTTCCGCATAAAGTGATTTGCCCATAGAAATAACGAATTTTAGGAATTTCCGAAAAGGTGAAGTATGGCTCTCAATATTGTGGCAATGAAAGAAAATTTGGGCAGAAATTTCTCACGGTAGTGATGAAATCAGGATAACCGCCTCTGTGGTCTAGTGGCCAGAGTTCCGGATTCTATTCCCGGCGCTACAAGATTTTCTGAGAAGTAGTGGGTCTAGAACGGGGTCCACTCAACCTCGTGAGAACAATTGAGCTATTTCAAGGAAAAAGCGGCTCCGGTCTAGAAAACCGATATTATTATTCGTTGCGCTATCCACATAAGTTGGCACTAACTTCTCCGACAAGCGGAGGTCGCTCGGTCGGTATAGTTCGCTTACGGACTAGAACCACGGAGGTTTTTTGTTCTGTCATCAAATCATGACGTTAGGATTTAAAATAAACGAATGTGTGACTAACAGTGACAGGATTTAGACCGGTTACGCATTTTCCCGAAACATTATACATACTCCTCGGTGCCATCACATTTTCAGCGTTCTGTTCGTACAGGAAATCGGTTTTAGATGTGTATTTTCCTGTCATACATGTAAACAGAGGCTTCTGATGTCAATGTTTGAAAACCCGCATTGTCCTCTGCGTTTTGTCCTAACCCCTCATATGTCTTCAAGTGCAGCCGAATGCGTTCTTCTTCTTCTGGCTTTCAGCTCAAGAATTTACATTAGGAGCAAAAAAGAACCAAGCGCTGTCGTCGACAAGTGAATGTCCTTTTTGACTGATTTCATTTCGTTCTTTGTAAACGTTTGTAAACGTAGCCTTTTCCCCTGCATCAACGTTTGGTGGATCGTGCCTTCAGTCCACTAGAAATGGCAGTCATCCGTAACCTGAAGAACAGCTAAGGTCTATGTAAGAAGTTGAAAAACTTCTGCCTGTTTAAATATTGTTTTTAAAAGCACCGGAAATCAAATGTGAGTTTTACAGGTTGCGAACATTTTTGTAAACTAAATTAAAAATTCGGTTTATTTGAAACTCTATTGTTCGATTTAAGTTCACCGACGTTTCAGAGGGATGGACTGCCTCCACTTTGAAAATCTTCCTTGCCCTACGAAGCTCTGCGTGTTACTTGTTTCATGCTGGTTGTTTTGCATACTCTTAGTTCCTGGCGATAGAGTCAGCATCTTCCTCCTGAACGTCATTTAATTTTTACCGGACTGTACCATAGCGTTACATTTATCTTGTGTCTTGTTTATCGCACCTTTCTCTGGTTCTCGCATTTCACGCTGTAGTTCTATGCATATTTTCACCTTGTATGTTGGCCACGAAACAAATGACATATCTTGTACCACTCTGTAGAAATGAAAATCTCTCCACCCACCTGCCCCTTGTGTAGTACTGCCGAACAGCCCTGCTATTTATTTGCGATCGTTAGATTTCTGCTAAGCGGTCCACCAAATGGTGCAGTCTCCTTTTGTTCACTGTATCACTTATCATGTATTTTGAATTTCTGAGTGTAAATATGTGGACCTGCCGTCTAAGGCACGAAATACCTCCGCCCGCTCGAACATTGGGATCATGGGTTCGAATCCCACGCAAGAAATTGACGTATGTCTGTTTTATTCTGTGTTTGTGTCGTCCTGTATAGGTAGCAGCCTTGCAACAAGCTGATCCCCTGTCCAAGGAGTACTACCGATTGTCCGTAAGATTCGTAGTGTCCAGATTAATTCTGAAATGGGAATAGGCCAGGGGCTCTCAACCGTCAATATAAAAATGCCTAACAGTTGCGTGCTCACTGTAGACAAAAAAAAATTGGAAGTCGTAGCATTATTTTGCGGAAGTTTCCACCTGCATTAAGTTGGTTAGGTTTGAATGGAACCGCAGGTGGCAAACATAGAATTTACTGCGTTTGGTTGTGCATCAACGTCAATTCTGGTCCATGTCGTCCTCCCGCGGAATAGGTCGAGCCCTATTTAAGTTTTTGAGGTTCAAAAAATCTTTCTCCTTTAAGAATATATAGGTGAAGATCGGATTTGAGGTTATGAACAGTTCTGTCTTCTAGTATATAACGCCGTTTAGTCCGCTGAAAGTCATCCGACGTTTCGAAGTAGCATTTTGCCTCCGTCTTCAGAGCTGAATAACGAACCAAGCAAGAAATCATTGTGAAGCAGGTCGCAAGCAGGCGGCATGTTCCTCCGAAACATCGGTTGAATTTCGATGGACTGTATGGAGTTATATCCTAGAAGATAAAAACTCTTTATAGGTGACATGACTTGAGTTGCTCTTTCAAGAAACATGAAGACTTGAGACAGCGTAAGTGGTTTCAGAACCTAGAACCGAAACCGAGTCCTCCAGAAAACGAATCGAGAATGTTACCCACTCGAACATATAGAATTTCAGTATCGTAATGGAAATTTATTCAGCAGTGACGGGGGTGAAGCATGTGGATAGGAAAATGGACGCGATCTCCCATAATCGTTCGATGACATAGAAGCTATGTAGGCCCTACCTTTCATCTGTGACTTCGAGACGTGCTTATGCCCTTCTGGCACGCCGTTCCTCTTGATGTCAATGCCAGCAGCGGCGGCAGCTTGCGGTGGTGCTCTGCTGTGGTTACTGGTGCCACTGGTACTGCTCTGGTGCTGGTCTGGCTGCAGTCCGCTGCTTTGGCGCGTCTGTCACCAAGAAATATCACCACAGATTCTCAGTACCCTCTGAAATTCCAGTTGCTTAATGCTTACACTTTTACTACGCCATCGCATGCAGGCGTTAAGGTGATTACCAGCAGAATGACACGTAGACACAGACATGGGAACGCCTCACTTACTGAATATTTTTGTAGGTCATTTGATTCTCCACTTGATAAAGCTAGTTTAAACAGAATTTTATCATTATAGACACGAAATATTTATTTTCCATTGCCTACGCCACGCCGGTCACAGTAGCCAAGAGGTCTAAGGCATGCACTGTCTCCGCTCGCTCGGAAGCCGGGGTCGTGGGTTCGGATCTGTTTCCTATGAGGTACATTGCCGGTCACGGTAGCCGAGCGGTCTAAGGCATGCACTGTCTCCGCTCGCTCGGAAGCCGGGGTCGTGGGTTCGGATCTGTTTCCTATGAGGTACATTGCCGGTCACGGTAGCCGAGCGGTCTAAGGCATGAACTGTCTTCGCTCTCTCGGAAGCCGGGATCGTGGGTTTGAACCCCCCTCAGGGCATTGATGTTCAGTGTTTGTGAGTGTGTGCGTTTTCCTGTGTTTGTGTACAGGTATATGGAGTCCTTGTGACGAGCTGATCACCCGCCCAAGGAGTCGTACCGAATGTGTAAGATCTAGTAAACCGAAGTGAAATGGAGAGTTTCATGGAGGTAGGTCAAGGCCCAAAGTGGGGCTGTAGCGCCGAAGGAAAGAAAAATTGCCCATGCCTGTTTTGTTGGACCATGGCTAGGAAAATACTTCTATAGTCAATCAGGGTTGAGATTTCTTACCCCCTTTTTGAGTGTTTTATTTTTCGGTAATACAGCGTTTTACGCATGTGACGACCCCAGTTTAAACGCCATTTATATGGCGTCCAGATTTGTCCCTCCGTGAAGGTGATTGTTATTATTATTTATAGGAATGCCGCTTCTATGGCCTAGTGGTCAGAGTTCTTGGCTACAGATCCAGATATCGCGGGTTCGATTCCTGGCGCTATCAGATTTTCTGAGAAGTAGTGGGTCTGGAACGGGGTCCACTCAGCCTCGTGAGGATAATTAAGGAGCTACTTGAATGGAAAAGTAGCGGCTCCGGTCTAGAAAACCGAGATTAACGGGCGTGGGAATCCGTTGCGCTGACAACACTACACCCTCTAACCGCTGAAGTTGGTACTAATTTCGCCAACAGGTGACGGTCGCTCGGTCGGTATAGTTCGCTTTTGGAATAAAAGTCACGGAGTTTATTTTAGTTTAATTTAGTTTAGGAATGGCCTCATAGCATAAATTTCTGGTAACAAAACCTAAGTTCAGTCACATACTAAAGATCGCCATTGTACTCGATCATGCAGCAGCTAAATCCATTACACTTCTCAACAATTTGTTTCTCCTGACCATACAATTTCATTGAGTGGTACCCTTCTTGAGAAATTTATAGTCTCTAAATTGGTCAAGTAATTCCCCATATTCATTAACGTGTTCACAGTAGCACATTATTCGACCCTATCGCGAGCCAGATGAATCCATTCCATATCTTTATACCCTATTTCTTACATTTTAATATTTCTTCATCTGCTGCCATCTTATCTCTTACATCCAAAAACATCTCGATCAGCAGTTGTCAAGTCCCACCAGAGCAAAAACAAAAATTCATCTTTCCATTAAATGTATCTTTTAGAGTTATGAGCATTTTAGTATTACAGAAACATTTATGTCATTAATGGAAGTTTTTATTTTCTATATTTCACGTCTCACTCAACCGCCCGAGAGTTCCCACGTCTGAGTTATTGTAATGGCATCGTCTCTTCTCCTTGTGCTTCCGAGTGACTTCCGTTACCACATTCCATCTACACTAATAAGTGGTATGGAGATGAAATACGCGGACAGATGCACGGACGGAATGACATGAATCTCCCACACTGTCTGCTTCGTTTTGCATGACTCAAAGATAAAGGTAAAGCTGTCCTGTAACAGGCCGTGAAGGCCCACAGTATTGTGAGAGGTCGAGGCTCCCACATTTTCTCTAGACAGTCGGCTTACAGAAGGCAGTGGGGTTGTCAGCCTTACGCGCCTGCCGTCCTTTAACCCCAGTAAGATTCCTGGTACTCATTTCCGTTAGGGAGGCTGAGTTGACCTCAGGGCCATAGTGCGGCTGGAAGGATTAGGTAAAATAAAATTATCCCTGTAACAGGCCATGGAGGGCCGCAGAGTTGTGAGACGTTGAGGGTCCCACATTATCTAGAAAATCGGCTCACAGGTGGCGGTTAGGTTGTCAGCCTTACGCTCCGGCCGGCCTGTACCCCCCATGAAGATTCCTGGTACTCATTTCTGTTAGAGGCTGAGTCGACCACAGGGCCATAGTGCGTCTGGAAGGATTAGATAAATAGAAAAACCCATTTACCTTATCGGAAATCGAACCCACGACCTTCCGGTTTGTAGCATAGTGCCTCAACCAACTATACTACCGCGTGCCCCCTGCTTATACTCATACTTAACTTCTAAACACTGTTTAAAATGAAGAAACTGATGAATCTGAGTGCGCAGGAGCAGTAACCGCAAGCAGACATTTTGCTGAGAATTCATGAGCCGGGACAGCTCAGTCGGTATAGCGGCTTACTACGGGCTGGGGAACCGAGGGTCCGGAGTTTGAGTTCCGGTAGGGTGAAGAATTTTCTCCATGTCCAGACCGGCTCTGGGATCCATCCAACCTCCTATCCAATGGGTACCGAAGGCTCTTTTCCCGGGGGTAAAGCGGCCGGGGCGTGAAGCTGACCACTCATCTCCAGCTAGTGCCGAGGTCAAGAAAATGTGGATCTATACATCCTGTACCCATACGCCTTCATGGTATAGCGCTTAGTTAGTTATGGACAGGGACAACTTCACCTTTGTCTTTACTATATTGTTTGTATACAGCTGTCGTAATGAATCATGTTATCAAAAATTGCTGGAGTCTGTAAGTTTTTAAGAGCTTCCATTAATGATTAATATAAAACTGAAAATGTACATGTAAGTAAAAGTATACTTCTTGGAAAATGAGAGGCTTCATTCCTACTTTGGGCAATATGACCAACGGGAAACAAGAAGCAGGAGATCTGAAAGTTTGTGACGATGGTAAATTGTTACAATTAATATGTTGTTGGACATTATCCATCATCTTGTCTGTTCTTAAAAAAAGTCCTGTTTCTTTTAAAAACACGACGTTTCGGGGACTGGATTCTGTCCAATAGACACAGCTAGCCCCTATCTCCGGAGATAGGGGCTAGCTGTGTCTATTGGACAGAATCCAGTCCCCGAAACGTCGTGTTTTTAAAAGAAACAGGACTTTTTTTAAGAACAGACAAGATGATGGATAATGTCCAACAACATATTAATTGTTAGAAGCAGGAGGTTTAGAATCGCTGTATTACGTCACTACGCAATAAACGTACGTGTGTGAGACTCATATTGTTTCATAAATAGGAATGTGATGGCTTCCTTTGTATTATGTCGACGAACAGAAGCCAATCACCTGGAAGAAACACGTCACATGAAGATAACAGTGGAACATTTTACAATATTGGAGTTGCGTACACACATTTCCCAAGTTTGGACTTCTGAAATTTGCAATTCTTCGTAATATTTATTTTCAACTCCGGCAGTTACAGTTCAGTTTCTTCGTTTCCCTCGTCTAATCTTGTGCTGATATCTTGTGAGGAATATGAACATTAAATGTTCGTAGCCTAGAGAAAAATTCATGAACGCCATCCCGAGGGGGGGTCAGACATCTGCTCCCCGCTGGATTTAAAGAAATAAAAATTTAAAACAATAAAGGGGCGACAGGAGGTTGGAGAAAACTGCACAACGAGGAGCTTCATAACTTGTACTCTTCTCCAAGTATAATTAGAATGATCAAGTCAAGGAGGATGAGGTGGGCAGGGCATGTAGCACGAATGAGGGAGACCTGGAATGCGTATAGGATATTGGTGGTAAAGCCACGAGGAAAGATACCACTAGGAAGACCAAGGCGTAGGTGGGTGAACAATCTTAAAATGGATCTTAGGCAGATAAGATGGGATGGTATGGATTGGATTGATCTGGCTCAGGATAGGGAGCAGTTGATGGCTCTTGTGAACATGTAGATACTGTAGGGTTCTGACGATGGTAATGAACCTTCGGGTTCCATAAAATGCTGGGAAGTTCTTGAGTGGCTGCACAATTTGCCGCTTCTCAAGAAGGGCTCAGCTCCATGAGTAAGTAAGTAAGTAAGTAAGTAAAGGGGCGACAAGCAAGAATCTGCCTCTCATTAGAATTTTATGGAAAAAATCACAATTGGAGAAAGGAAATATACCGAAGGTTAATACCAAGAACTGTTTTGTATTTTTATTCTCCTTCTATTCTGAATACTCTAGATCGGTCAACAAAAGTGTCTTAAAAGTTTTAAACGCAAGTTTTGAAGCAAATTTTCTGGCCAAACACCTCGGCGCGCCCAAGGCAATTGTGTCTGGAATGTAGTTAGCTTATTTGGTTCCGCCCAGAATACACAGAATTAATTGTAATATTTCAAAATATATGTCTCCGAATTAGTACAAGCTTCCATGACATCTATCTTATTCTACGAGTATAAGGGAAATATTTCGATTTTTTCTTAGTAATCAAGTATTCACAGACAGCAAATTAACTAAAATCTCATCACCCGAATAGATTATAGTAAAGCATATTACATACGCATATAGAACGTTAATATAATACAAGCATAGTTGCAGATTAATTAAGAATTTATGAGCATTGTGCCCAATTTCTTTATTTCAGCGCCGTTTATTTTAATAAGAAAGCCTGGGAAGAGTGTAGTTTCATTATGCATCCATTGCTACTAAACGTATGCATCATATATGTCCAGAGAATTCGTCAGATGCACTTTATCTGATACGCAATCCATCAACTGAGCTATTGTGACATTTACAAGTGTTTAGCATATTATTTACGCACGTGTATGAACAGTATAACATGACACAAACTATAACAATTGAATTTCAGCACCTGGTTCGCAATGTTACTCACCGACACGCTGGATAATGAGACGTAGAGACCTGTTCTATGGAGTGACCGTGCGTTATCATTTTGAGTGCAGACATCATAGCTGCCTTTTGATGCAGGAAGAAATCGCTGTGAACAGTGAGTGTACAGTATTGTTCATCTGGCATATGTTATTTTAATGTTATTGTTAGTTCCTTCCATCACCACGTGTTTCCATTGATCCCGTTTAGTTTGAGCCCAATGCTTTTGTTAAAAGGAAAGGAAGCCATTCACCTACACGTGTTATATAGAGAATTTCTTTGGGAACGCTGATTTGGCGGAAGAACTGGACGCGTCTTCCGGCAGATTGGGACGACCCGTAACGCATGGAATTTCATCACCGTTCCGCTGTTTAGAGAACTCACTCTATAACCCATTTTTAAACGATGAAGCATGTGACTAGTCTGTTACATTTTGTTCTTTATCCGGCACCATCGTACGTACAAGAAAAAACAAATAAACTCCGTGATTTTAGTCCGCAGGCGAACTATACCGACCGAGCGACCGCCGCTTGTCGGCGAAGTTAGTGCCAACTTTTGCGGATAGAGGTCACGTGGTCAGCGCTACGAATCCCCACGGCCGTTAATTTCGGTTTTCTAGACCGGAGCCGCTATTTCCTCGAAATAGCTCCTCAATTATCATCACGAGGCTGAGTGGACCCCGTTCCAGACCCACTACTTCTCCGAAAAAAAATCTGGTAGCGCCGGGAAACGAACGCTGACCACTAGACCACAGAGATGGTCCCATCGTACATACAAACTAAATGAAAGATAGGCCTATCAGAAACGAAGTAGTCAAATTCGTACAAATATCTAAGACCAGTGACTCGTTTGACATTTTAATGTGTTCGTCAGGAGGAAGTTGGAAAGTTTTTTCTCTTCGGATGTAACGCCACGTACTTCAGTGAAATTCAACCGACGCTTTGGGTAACATGTCATCTCCACCTTCAGGGTCGAAGAGTAAGCCAAGCAAGAAACTAGCATGAAACAGGCAGCAAGCAGAACTCTGCTTTCGCTGGAATACATGGCGTTATATCCAAGAAGGTAGAACTGTTCATAGTCAGTGGTGTATAAGTTGTCGACTGTCCACTGTGTTGTCTTGGTGCACAGAAGCCATCATTCATAGTCTGGTCGTCCAAGGGTACAAGTTCTTAATATATGAAGTGTATTTAGTTGAGTTTCTGTTTAATGAGTTGTGTTTCGTTATGCTACACAGACCTGTGTCCATATAATACCATATGTAGGATGTATGGTCAGTACTTGCGCGAAGTACTGTGACAGGAAGGATTCCCTTACATCAATGCTTCCCAAACTTCTTTTACTCCGGAACCCTCTCGGTATAAAAAGTTGATGTATACCCAGACTAATTAAGGGAATAAAAAAATGGTAAGGCTATCCCTGCACCGGTCACTGTAGCCGAGCGGTCTAAGGCATGCACTGTCTTCGCTCGCTCGGAAGCCGGGATCGTGGATTCGGATCTGTTTCCTGTGAGGTACGAACTGAATTCTTATATATTATTCTTATACACTGCCGGTCATAGTAGCCGCGCGGTCTAAGGCATGCACTGTCTTCGCTCACTCGCAGGCCTGGATCGTGGGTTCTAATCCCATTCAGGACATGTATGTTTCATGTTTGTGTGTGCATCTGTTTTCTGTGTTTACATACAGGTAGAGGCCTTGCGACGAGCTGATCACCCGCCCAAGGAGTCCTACCGAATGTCTAAGATCTAGTAAACCGAAGTAAAGCGGAGAGTTTCATGGAGGTAGGCCAAGGCCCAAATTGGGGCTGTAGCACCAAAAGAAAAGAAAAAGATCATTCGGTACATAGGTGGACAGCAACGAAGGCGGGTATGCAGCTTTGGTTTACTTATAATGTCTGCAGCTCTTTGTGCAGGTTTTCTGTGTCGATTGTGTTCCAAATGTGGCCTTTCCTTAAGGCTGGGTTTGTGGTCTGGTTACACTGGTCTGCCCAGCAGTGAGGCCACAGATTCTGCTGGAACGGAAATCTCCTTCCATGGACATTTCACAACAGACAGATCTATAGTCAATGATGTTCGCGTTATTCTTTTCGTGGCAAGACGAGGTATTCATATAGGACATTGGTGGGAAAGCCAGATGGAAAGAGATCACTGGGAAGCCAAGGCGTAGGTGAGATGGTATGGATTGGATAGATCTGGCTCAGGTCAGGGACCAGTGGAGGATTCTTGTGAACACGGTAATGAACCTTCGGGTTCCTTAAACTGCTGGGAAATTCTTGAATAGTTGCACAATTTGCAGCTTCTCAAGAAGGCCTCAGCTGCATGAGTGGGGAATGAGGCAAGACGAGCGAGTAAATACAGACAGCAACAAATCGTGAATTACGAAACCATCTGTACAAGTCTGGCTGTCCTTCATTCCCATTAGAAAGGAGTACGTCACACTCATCTAAACCGTGGGCATTTGTTGCATGTTGAGCAGATACATATAAATTGTAAATTTGTCAGGGCCAGTGATGCATGTTTTCGAATAAAATTTTAGACAAGCACAAATAGCTATAGACGCTAAGGTAAATTTAATCACATTTTCCCTTCCTCGCACTGGTGTCACTAAATGTTATATATATTATAACCCTTTTTCCACTTCTGGTATCTTTATTGTTCCGAATTTACAGACACCAGCCTCGCACGACATACAAGACGTTGACTTAAACGGGGAATACTGAACGAACGTCATGCAGGTGACGTCATCACAGCTTCGTCACGCCACCACGGTACACTGGGTACTTCCCCGTAAATTGTTTAGCAATTACGCGCATATGCAATGCCATCTGGTCAGCAGTTTTTATAGCCGACGTACGTATGTTCACGTAGTTAGCAACCTGCAGCAGCTGATAGTGCTGTAAGTGATTGTCTAGTGTGGGGGTTCTCACTTCCCTGAAATATTACACGAATTTATGTCCCCTCCCATCTGCAAGCCAGTGGAAAATTCAGTTCTGCATGATAACAGCTTGAACCGGAATGGCTTTACTGCCTCCGTACATCTACAGTAGGCTTAAAGCAATCCAGAAAATATTAGCGAAGTGTTCGCCAACTATACCTACATTTTGCGGAAGCGTATTGGCTTGCAAAAACTATGCATGGGTATAAATGTTCCTTCCTTCCCCTCGGCGCTACAGCTCAAGTTGAGCTTTGACCTCCTGAACAAACTGCCTCCATCCATCCGAGGCTGATTATCAGGTTTCTGAACAATTCAGTTTTTACGGTGTGAGGTTGTTAGCCTCAAGCCCAACCCACAACCTGGAAGACCTGGACATCCCTCCTCGTCTGTCTGCTACCCGTTCACCTGGTTGGCATGGGTGACCCTACCAGTAGCTACGCTACCACCGGCATAGCTCTCAGGGTCGCAGGAGCGCTTAAACCCCACTACCACGATAAGGCGGAGACACCATCGGGGGGGGGGGATATAACAATATATTTTAAATAATTCTTGAGAAGTCGGCGACCCTCCCTCCCCCTTAGAAGAGTTCGCGGCAAGAATATCAGTAACAACAGAAAGTTGGAGGTATACAGTTACTGCAAAAATGAAAAGCGCGCAAATCGGAACAAGTAATAATCATTAGAGATTGAATAATTTAATTTAACATACTGCATTTTTCTAAATGAGGAAATATACAATTTGTTAAACTATTTCGCGGCACACCTGGTACCTTGGGGCGGCACACTCGTATGCTGCGATCACCAGTGTGCCGCGGCCCTCCAGTTGCAGACACTGGTATAGCTCTGTATATGATGACAGGACATTCGTTCAGAAATTGAGTTTTATCCTCCCAATGGCTATGGCCCTGGCCGCCTTACATGTGACGACTAAAGGGGGCTATTTACTCGTACATGCATATGCGATAAACACAAAACGAAATTCCAGTATAAAAAGCGTAAAATATTTCGTCCTTAATATGTACTAAAATTTTCGTCAATGGTAACTTGTAATAAACTTGTTTACCTGCTTAATTAAGTAGTCATGAAGACTATCGTGGAAACTGAGGTGTCTATCTATCTATCTATCTATCTATCTATCTATCTATCTATCTATCTATCTATCTATCTATCTATCTACAGCCCTTTGTTGGGCCTTGGCCACTTTTTCAGTTTCTTGATCTTTTACAAAGTCGGTAGGACTCCTTTGACGGGGGATCGGCCCGTCGCAAGGCCGCTACCTCCACACACGACTAAAAAAACACGGAATAAACGCACACGGACGTCCATGCCTGAAGTGGGATTCGAACCCACAATCCCAGTATCGATTGGGCGAAAACAGTTCATGCCTTATGAGGAATATCGTCTTTTTGAATGTTGCGCCGTGTAGATCTTGTGTGAACTGACGTTTCGGAGGAAATACGGCGCTACATCCCAGAAGACGGCATTCTTCATAATCACCGCCGTGAAAACCTCAGCTCTTACACAGTTAATGACTCAGACCGCGCGGCCAGTGTGATCGGCGGGGATTGAACTGTAGCTACAGGAGTTCATAAATTTGGCACTAAATGGAATTGAGTGGTCAGTTTCACGCCTCGACAGTTTTACCCCTGGAGAAAGAGCTCCCGATACTCATTGGATAGGAGGCTGGTTGGGCCTCAGAGTCGGTCTGGACGACATAGAGAATAGGCAATTTTTTACCCTACCGGGACTCAAACTCCGACCTCTTGGTCGACTAGCCGTAGCCAGTCGCTATACCGACTGCGCTACACCGGCTCCTCGTATATAAATTGTACCCGAATTTTTCCTGGGACTAAGGCAGCTGGGCCATGAAGCTGACCACTGACCTCCATCTAGTGCCGAGGTTAAGAATTGTGAAGCTATATCTCCACTCCCCCAAACGCCTTATTTGCATGATGCTTAATTAATGAATTGAGAACATGGACAACTTTACCTTGTACCTCACCCGACTTATGTTCGTCATGCACAGGCCGCCTATTTTGACCTGGACACTGGATTGCGCGTGAGAAGTGAGCAGAAGTATGGGATGATGTAGGGGGGTAGCGGTTGCAGCTGCGTTATGGGAGGAAGGAGAACGGTGGAAGGGAGGATGGGGTACTGTAATCAAAAACCTGTTAAAA